CGCACACCTGCTTAAGAAGCTTTTAGACTCCACCCTTGAAATGCTGCTGGGCTTTGGGGCCTGCGTGAAGTTAGTTCACAAGGGGCGCTGGGCAGCCCTGAGGTCTCCCAAGCTGCCCCAGGCTAGGGGCGGGGGTGGGGTGGGATGGGGGGGCAGTGGCAGGGAGGTGGAGGATGAAAGGGACCTTGCCCCAGGGACCTGGGGGGGCAGTCTCAGGGGGACGTGGAGCTGGGCAATGGCAAGTGAGTGACCAGGGCAGAGCTGACCACTTCTGGCACCTATCTCTGTCACCCCCTGCGCATGTTCACACCTGCCCCCAACCTCACACCTCCAGACTCATGCACACACGTGCTCACACTCACACGGCCACATATATGCCATCCCCCATGCTCTCTGAATGTCTGCCTGGACCCTCTTCCCTCCCCTCAGTGGCTGTCACCCTCTGGGGGGCCGTGCCCGTCCCTGCTACCCGCACCAGTTCCTGGGTTTCCTTCCCACCTCGGACCCTTCCACCTGAACCCTCAAACTCCCAGGGACCCCGATGAGGGGGTGGACAGGTCCTGGGGTTTCTCTGGGGCTCAACCTTCTCCTTCCCGCCCTGCTTTCTTAGAGGAGCTGGCTGACAGGGACACAGGTGATATCTGGGGGCTCACACTGACCTGTGTCTTCCTCAGCACACACGCTGCCCCTATCGCCAGCCCGAGGAAGAAGCAGCTCACAGCCAGGACCACAGGGAAGGCCGAGGTCAGCTGAGACTTCTGGCACGTGTCTGCTTCCTGGGACACTTTGTCTGTGAAGAGGAGTGGACAGGTATGTGGCAGGTGGTGGATTCCACTCCACGAGAGCCTTTGGGGTTCATGGAGGGGCTCTGGAGTGGGGGGATGGGCAATCCAGGGTGCTTCCTGGAGGCAGTGGGCTCCAGCCGGAATGAACATCTCAAGCAAGCGTAGAGGACACTTCGGGGCAGACAAGGGCAGGTGGAGCCTGGCCTACCATGCAGGGAGGCGGAGTGGGTCCCAGGGTGGGCACATTCCTTACCTGTCACCAGCACCAGGGTGCCAGGGCCCCAGACCTCGTCATCCATGACCGCCTGGCAGACGTAAGCCCCAGCGTCAGCCAGCTGCAGGCGGCTCAGGGTGATGGTCAGGTTGTGCTGCAGCCCGGAGAAGGCGACACGACCTCGGAAGCACTCGTCTACCGTGGGCTGCTTCTTGTCTTCATAGTAAATCACGCTGGTGGACTTTGGCCACCTTTGCTTCAGGTAGACCCCGGCCAGGGGCCCGCTCGTGGAGCAGGTGATGTTGATGGAGCCCCCCTCTGAGGCAATCGTGTAGGGGGGGAGCTGCCGCACCTCTGCAGGAAGGACCCCCTGCTGTCACCACAGCCTGGCCTGGGGACAGGGGGCAGGGACCCTCCTCTCTGCAGGGCACGCCGGAGGGACAGAGGGGCCCTGGGACAGCCCGCTGTGGCCGTGTCACCACAGTGAGCCCTCTCACTGGACGCTGCTCCGGGGCACACACACCTCAGTGGCCGGACACGAACACTGATGGGGCCACACGGGGAGCCAGCTGCCTGTGACCTCTCTGCACACTGGGGCCGCAGGGAAGCCCGGGCTGCAGCTCCTTCCTTCCAGAGCAGCTGGTCCTTCACCGAGCAGCAACCACTTCTCCCCGCCCCTACACCTTCTCCTTCTCTTAACAGACTGTGCCCAAGATAGCCAGACAGGCTGTGCTGTCTCCTTCTCTCTTTCCATTGCTGGCTGCCTCAGTGTCCCCATCATTTCCAGACACCTAGAGCTGGTGGCTCTGTGGGGTGGGCACATTTGGCTTGTCTGAGGGATGCCCGGAAATGTCTCTGTCTGCCCAGCTGGGGCCCAGCCAGACCAGCTTCCTGGTGCAAACATGAACCTTCTTTATTTTTATTTTATTTTACTTTACTTTATTTATCAGAGAGAGAGAGAGAGAGCACAAGTAGGGGAGCATCAGATGGAGAGGGAGAAGCAGACTCCCCGCTGAGCAGGGATTCCCAACATGGAACTTGATCCCAGGACCCTGGAATCGGGACCTGAGCCAAAGGCAGACGCTTCATGGACTGAGCCACCAGGTGCCCCAGTGAACTTTCCTTAATGTAATCCAAGCATCAGCTTCTCAGCAAACTAAATTCTGGAACTTCCTTTTTCTATTCTTTCTTTTTCTTCTGTCTCCCCATCCCACCCCACTATTTCCATCTTACTGCAGAACTTTGCACATGTATCTGTTTTAAAAAGCAAACTAACAGGGGCGCCTGGGTGGCTCAGTGGGTTGAGCCTCTGCCTTCGGCTCAGGTCATGGTCTCAGGGTCCTGGAATCGAGCCCCGCATCGGGCTCTCTGCTCAGCGGGAGCCTGCTTCTCCCTCTCTCTCTCTGCCTGCCTCTCTGCCTGCTTGTGATCTCTGTCAAATAAATAAATAAAATCTTTTAAAAAATAGGAAAAAAAAAAGCAAACTAGCAGACAACATACTCTCATAACCAAGGTAACCTTGCTAATTATGTAAAAAAGAATTGCCAGACATTTAAGTAAAGAAAAAGATTCTGCACTCAGACGTCACTGGGGGTGGGGAGGGCTTCCTGGGGAGGTCACGCTCAGGATCCCCAGACCACCCCCTTCCCAGGAAGGAGCATCCCCAGGTGGGGGCACCGTGGGGGACGCGGTGAGGCAGGGCAGGGCTTACCTTGGGTGGCCAGAGCCGCGAGCAGGGTACAGGCATAAGAGAGGCGCAGGGGGAGCAGAGGGAGCCCTGGGGCCATGCTGGCCGCCACCCTGCCCCCCGCAGACGAGCGCGAGGGAGAAGCAGGCCCGCTCACAGCTGGCTGAGACTCTTCCTGTCTGCGGCGCCCGCCTGAAGCCACCAGCTCGGAGGCACCGCCCCGAACCCCCAGGTAACGGCGGTGGCTAGTGGTCCCCGCACTCCAGGAGGGCTTCCTGGAGTGGTGCCACCGGCAAGGGGAGGTGCGGAGGGCCAGGCTGGGAGGGGCGGTCCTCACCCCCTCTCACCCCTCTGCACTGTCCTGCTGAGAGGCCAACGGGTGACCAGTTGTCCTGGTCCCCCACCCCACGCTGTGTCTCCACAGTCCCGAGGTGGGGGGCAGGACCAGGAGAAAGCCGGGGGAGACCCTCGGGGGGTGGGTTCAGGGGCCAGATGCCCTGGATGCTCTGGGTCACCTTCTGTCCAACCTGATTTATGCCTAGAAATCTGGCCTACCATCCAGTGACCCCCCGCGTTGTGGGGGCGGAGCCCGGAGGGACCCAGGAGTAGGGGGCGGAGCCCGGACGCAGGGGCGGAGCCTGGAGGCAGCGGCGGGGCCTGGAGGGAGGCCCCAGAACTCAATCTTCTTACAGAAACCCGCGAAAACACAAGCAAGAAGGAGGAAATGAAAACAGTGGAGGACCCAGGCCCAGGACTTGCCTCTAGGTCTAGGCCCAAGTCAAGGGAGCAGGCAGGGCCTCCAGCCTGGGCTCTCCACGGTGAGGGAGGGGCGACCGCCCCCAGCAGCCTCTTTGGATGCCTTTCTGCCCTATTAGTGCTTTAAGACAAGAAGCAGCTTCTTTTAGTTTTTGTGTTTTTCCCCACTTAAAACACGTGTACTTCTCAGGTCATTTGATGATTTCTTGGTTGATTTACTTTATTCATCGTAAAGATTAGCGCTATGGGTTTTCAGAGCACCGAATGTATATTTTATTTATTCATTTTTTAAGTAGGCTGCATGCCCAGCCTGGAGCCCATCGTGGGGCTTGAACTCATGACCCTGGGATCAGAACCTGAGCTGAGATTAACAGTCAGATGCCTAACCGACTGAGCCACCCAGGTATCCCCGAATGTGTACTTCAGAAAAACCTGTGTGTCCCTCTTCAGAATCACACGTTGTGATTATGACGACATCTGACAAAAGGGTCAGGGACAGGGAAGGGCCTGCAGGTGGGCAGGTGGGTGAAGGGAACCCTGCGGCTGGGACGTTGGGGTGGGGAGGGCTGTGTGGACACCTGACTGCCAGGTGCCTCTGTCCTCCTCCCTAGCAGAGGGGCTCTGGCTACAGCGACCCCTCCTGGTGCTGGTGGCGCTGGAGCTCCACCTCTGGCCTCCTTCCCCCACAGCTTGACCTTAGGACTGGGGGGCGGGGGGCAGGGACGCCAAATTGTTCTTGCCCAGGCCCAAAGACAGGAGTGTGCCAGATCAAGCTAAGACCCAAGCTGGGGCATCTCCAGGGTACAGCAGCCTGTCGCTTCTGCACCTGAGGCTGGAAGCCCAGTCCCCAGGCGCCAATGGGGCAGAGAAGGGAGAGGTTCTTTGAGGTCAGATGTTTCAGATTTCTTTCCCCGCCTTTTTTTTTTTTTAAGACTTTTTTTTCTTTTTTTAAAAGATTTTACTTATTCACTTGACAGAGATCACAAGTAGGCAGAGAGGCAGACAGAGAGAGAGGAGGAAGCAGGCTCTCAGCCGAGCAGAGAGCCCAACGCGGGGCTTGATCCCAGGACCCTGGGATCATGACCTGAGCCGAAGGCAGAGGCTTTAACCCACTGAGCCACTCAGGCGCCCCAAAGATTTTTTATTTTTTTGAGAGAGGGAGAGAGAGGAAGAGAGAGAGCATAAGCCAGGGGAGAGGCACAGGGAGGAGCAGCTCCCCGCTGGGCAGGAGTCCATCCCAGGAACCTGAGATCCTGACCTAAGCTGAGGGCAGACACTTAATCACTGAGCCACCCAGGCGTCCCTGAGATTTTCCCATTTTTGACCAGAGAATGTGGCGGGGCTGGGGCGGGTAGTCGGGGAGCTGAGACAGCTGCGGGAGGCTGAGGTGGGTGGGGGTCAGCCTGGGTCACACCCTCTCCTCCCGCCCCTCCCTCCCTCTGCGCCGGCAGAAGCTGGCCTCTGGGGCAGAAGGGCTGAGCGGGTCTCCTGTGCCAGAGGCAGGGATGGGGGCCTGCTTCTGTCAGCCGCCGCTGCATGGTTCATGGGACGGGCGTGTCAGCTGGGTGGAGGTGGGACACGTGGGGCTCCACTCCTGAGGGGCGGGTTTCGGGTGCTGGTGGCCTCAGAGTGGGCAGGACTCCTGGGGTCGGCTCTGGGTTTTAGGCCCGTTCATCACCCTCCTCACAGGCCCTCCATCTGCCAGTTCAGAACCAGCTCTCCTGGGGAGGGAAGCAGAGGTGAGAGCTGAGTCAGAATGTGTGGGCACACTCGGGTCACGTGTGCTCACACGCATGCAGACACACCCGCTGGGCCCTGTGTCTTAGGTCTCCCGTAAGGAGCCGGAAGTCCAGCCTCTGTGCTGCCCCCAGGGTGTCCTGGGACAAATGAGTGCTCTGGGGACCCAGTGGGCCTGACTGGGAGGGAGGCACCTACCACTGCCAGCTGGGGTCCTCTGAGGGAGGGGCGTGTGTCTCTCTGGGCCCGAGGTGACCCCCAGCCCCACCAGCCCACAGACTAGGTGCAGGGCCTCAGACCTGGGGTCCTGAGTACTTCTGGGGGGAGTAGCACGGGGGGCCTGTGCCTTTGGTGCAGGCTAACACGCTGAGAACCAGGAAAAGGAGGCCGACGATGATGCTGCTGACCACGAGGGCCACCGTGAGCGGGTCTCCGGCCTCGGGTGGGCACGGCGTCTCTGGGCCTGTGGGAAGTGGGGGCAGGGGGGCACTTGTTCACCTATGAGGAGCCACTTCTTGCCTTGAGTGCACCCTTGAGGGAGACATCACCCCCATGGGCCGGGAACAGGGGGTGGGGTGTGCAGGCTGGACAGGGGTGCTGGCATGGAGGATGGGGACAGCCCGGGGGGACCTGGGTGTAGGGTAAGAACACCTACCACAGGGATTTGCAAAGAGCAGACGTCCTCTCTCCTTCAGGTCTTGGGACACTGCCCCTGATGCAGCCCCCCAGGCCCAGGAATCAGATGAGAGGAGGGTACCAGGAGTCCCCGAAGGGCTCGCTGGGTCCCTTCCCTGGGCTTGGCCAGGCCGGGGGCACCATTCTCAGCCACATTCTCAGCCACCGAACAGCCCAGGGAGACTGTGATTGGAACCAGTGGGGCGGTCGCTGCCTGTGGGTCTGAGCAGTGTCCCAGAGGGGATTCGCGACAGGGAGCACTCCTCCAAGTGGAGGGGAAGTGAGGAACCACTCACGTGAGGGCAGTGGAAGGGGGACGGCAGGTGGCGGAGGCAGGGGTGTGGACTGGTTGGAGGGGAGGCCTTGTCTGGAGGGGACCGCTGGACCCTTCAGGTGGACAGTGTCCAGGGCAAGGCTGGGGGAGCGGGACCGGCTCAGGGAGAAGTGGAGGCATCACGGGGCATCTGGGTGAGAGCAGGGAGGCGGGCCCTTCAGGGGCAGACGAAACTCTGCAGGGGCTGCGGGTGGAACCTCTCCCCCCGAGCTGGTGAGAGGGAGGAGGTCTGAGGCAGGCAGAGCGGGAGAGGCACACGGCCTCGCCTCCTCCCTGGACAGGGCGGCCCCTGCCTGACCCCCTCGTGGCGCAGGTCCTTGGAGGAGCGGAGGCTGGTCTTGTTTCATTCTGCTCTGTCGGAACCCAGGCCTGCGTTCTCTGGGCCCCATCCCGGGGCCCTAGGAACTTTTGGGGGGAAAGAACGGCTCCCCCGCCCTTCCCAAATACGAAAGCCCCTGGGGTGGGCTGGGGGGACGAAGATGCTGTCCTCACCTGAAACGTTCAGTGTGGTGACCCTGATATTTCTCTGCAGACCCTGCAGGTGCCACTTGTAGCATCCAGTCTGGGAGTCGCTGGCGTTGTCGATCACCAGCTGGGCCACGCCTCCCTGCACCCGGAGCTGCCACCCCTCCCGGCAGAAGCACCCCGGGGACCGCACACGGAAGAGCGGCTGGACACTGGCCCCGGGGGTGCCCAGGGCGACGGCCACGCTGAGGAAGGGGTTGGAGATGTTGCAGCCCATCACGGCGCGCTCCCCTCGGGGCACGGACACCACTCCTTCGGTGCAGGTGGGGTTGTCCCATTCTGTGTGCAGGGGACAGGTCACACATGGGTCATGGCGGGGCCTCAGGACGCTCACTGACCGCCCTCCCTGGGGTCGAGGGAGGGACGGTGATGAGACGAGGGTCCCAGGGACGCCCAAGCCCAGCTCAGGGTGCTGGAGGATGCAGGAGCTCCGTACCCACCCATCGGACAGATCAGCACGTGTGCCTCAAGCGGGAAAACAACACCGAAGTAAATGCGGGGAGGCTGTGTGTGTGCATGCGTGTGTGTCCCTACGCGCAGCTAGTGTGGCGTGTCACCAGGCCCGGGCATGTCCCCCAGAACTCCCCTCTTTGCAGGCAGATTCTGGGGAAGGAGGGCACGCGCACTCTGTGCACTCACGGGAGTGTTGTGCAGTCATGGCCAGACCTGCGGCCGCCTCACTGTCCCCAGGCTCCTGGGCCAGGCGTGCACACCCAGCTCCACAAAGAAGGTTCTCCGCTCCTGCAGGACACCGCCACCACCACTGTCAGAAGCCACGAGCACGGGCCCCAAACTCCACCTGGCTTGCTGGCCGTGGAACCCGCCCCACCATCTTGGGAGGCCAAGTCCTGGAACAGTCACCCGTCGCCAGCCTCACCGCACAGTCTGAGTGAACTCTGACCGACAGGGACCCAGAGCCCTGGCACACGGCAATAGGGGCCTCGTGCAACATGAGCTAGCCAGCCCAGCCCTCCTGGTCCTGCTGTGGCACTTTCCACCAGGGACCAGGCAGAGGTGGACAGATGCCAGACAGCGGCACGAGCTCTGGGCACGCCGTGTGCTGCATGAGCCCACAGTTCACCAAGTCCACATAGCGTGGCAGGTGCCACATGTGGCCCTGTGCCTGGGGCCTTGGGAGCCCACAGCAGAGGGTGTGTGAGGTGGAAATTCTGCAAGACAGGCACAAGCCTGAGCAAACCCAGAGTGCAGGGACCGTGGTCCCCTCCCAGGCCCCAGTCCCATGTCTGCACCTTGTGCAGCCCAGGGTGGCTCAGCCAGCGGGCACAGGCCAGCAGGCACCAGAGTGGCGGGGGGCTCGATTCGGGGAGGCTGTGGAGCCGGCAGGAAACTGCCCGGGTTCCAGAAGGTGGCTACGGTGGCGGCCGGTCAAAGCTCCGTGGATGTAGACCTCCACGTGCGTGTCCGCAGTAGGAGCCCGACCCGGTCTCCCCGCTGTTCCCCTCAGCAGCTGGGGAGTTTGTCCTGAGGAAGGGTTTTAAAATGCCTTCTCTGCAGATGTGGTCTATAGAGGAAAGGGACACGATGTAGCCATCAGAAAGGATGAAATCTTGCCATTTACAAGTGCTCAGTGCTAAGTCAGTCTGAGAAAGACAGTTACCATATGATCTTACTGATACGAGGAATTTGAGAAACAAGACAGAGCAGCAAAGGGGAAGGGAAGGAAAAACAAAACAAGACGAAATCAGGGGGAGACAAACCGTAAGAGACCTTTAGCCACAGGAAACAGACCGAGGGTGGCTGGAGGGGCGGGGCTGGGGGGCCGGGGGCACTGGGTGACGGGCACTGAGGAGGACACAGGATGCGATGAGCACCGGGTGTTGTGAGCAACCGATGCGTCACTGACCCCTGAAACTAATAGTTCACTCTGTGTTAATTAATTGAATTTAAATAGAAAAATAAAATAAAATGCCTTCTCTGCATCTTTACAAAATTGTCAAAGTGTTGCATGAACACACACCTGGCACAGAAATTCAAACAACTCTGAGGCACCCCCTGCCCCACCTACAGAGAGGCTGCTGGGCGGGGGGGCCCCAGGCCAGACAGAGCCCTCCGCGCTGGTTGCTGGCACCGTCACCACGCCCACGAAGGGGGCTGACTCTGGCTGTCAGATTCCGGCAGAGCTGGAACAGGGAGGGGCTGGGCAGGACTGCAGTCATCTGTCCAGTGCCTGGGAGCCCTGGGCCTCTGCGGCTCACAGGTTTCCCGCCGATCCCAGATGTGCTGATAATCCAGCCTAGGGGCACCCCACCATGACCGCACCCGGGGACAGCCGGGGTGGTCACAGATGCTCCCTCTGCCTGTGATTTCTTCCACCAGGTTGAGGTGCCCTGGGGTCCGGCATCTACTCTGCCCTCCCCTGGAGCCATGTGCAAGGGGCTGGCCTGATTCTGCAGGACGGAGCACACCCCAAGAGTCTGCATGTCTAACGAGCTCCCAGGTGATGCTGGAGCCACTGACCCAAGGAGGGATCGGGGACCAGAGCAGAGGCAGAGAACCCTCAGGCTTGTCCTGCCGCCCTTCCTCTGGCCACAGCACTTGTCACTAACGGGCCCGATCCTCTTTCCCATGGAAACTGGACACACTCTTAGCCATCCCCATATGCGTTCTGATGGTCATCACTGGGCGCTGGAGCGGGTACCCCCCGTCTGCCATCCGTGGGAGGACTTGGCTTATCCCACTGTGGCCCAGGAGTGCTGGGCCAGCCCCTCTCAAGGTCATGGTCTCTACCTGGGGCCTGGGTCCCACTGGGTCTGATGTGGATCTGCTCCTCCCACTCCTGCCTCCCCCTCCCCAGCCTCTGCTGGGCCACCAGCACGCAGGGAGACCTCCTGAGACTTACTTCCATCCTGAGCACTCAGGGAGGTGACCACGAGGACAACCCACAGCATCTGGGGAACCGAGAAGGGGAATGTCAAGGTCAGCGTGGCCAGGAGGACAGGGAGGCAAGCCTCAGGGGTCTTGTGTCCTCTTCATTGGTTCTTGGGACACTCCCTGGAAGAAGGAAAGCCACAGGATCGGAAGTCTGTGGGCTACAGCCTGGCCAGGAGCGGGTAGCAGTCCCGAGCTCCTCCCTGGCCAGCTGTGCCCGGAGGCCAGAGACCCCGCTAGGCCTCTTCTCCTGCACCTTCTCTGTACCTTTATAGTGTACGCGATGCTGGCCACTGACAGACAAACAAGAAACACGGACAAGCCAGGAGGGACGTCACTGGGAGAGAGCCCTGCTGACAGCACCATAATGACGATAAAATGTGCAAAACTGGCCTGAATTGTGTTCCTGTGGACACAGGTCATGCCCACTCAGGATCTGACCGCCTTGGATGCCCCTGCCCTCCCCGCCCTCGCCCTTTCCTGGGCTGGGGGCACCTGCTTCCTTCGAGATGTCCTTAGGGGATGGGCTCTTATCAAGCAAAGGAGCCCTCCTGTGGGACTCACAAGGCGGCCATCTGTCTCCTTTCACACAAGCGCCCCCGCGGGCTTCTGCGACCCTCTTGACCTTTGTTAGTGTGACATCTTTCTGATTAAATTATTTAAAAGTATTTTATTTTATATATTTATTTTTAAGATTTTATTTTTAAATCAACTCTGCACCCAGTGTGGGGCTCGAACTCACAGCCCCGAGACCAAGAGTCTCGCCTTCTGGCCACTGAGCTGGCCGGTCGCCCTTATTTAAAAGTATTTTAAAATTGCTTGCCAGGCCATTTCTTGACCTTTTGATTAAAAAAATAACAATAATAGACTTTTTGTTTTGTCTTTGGGCAGTTTTAGATTTACGGGAAAATTGGGCAGAAAGTGCAGAGTCGACACGTGGGAGCACTGTGGTGGCACACGCGTCGCTTGTGGCACCTGCCGCGGCACGCGCGTTGCCGTCCGCGAGCCGGCACACGGCGGCCATTGCCCGAAGTCTGTGCTTTGCATGCGGCACGGCTCACTCGTGTGTCGGACGGAAGGGCCGTCTGGACAAATGCATAATGGCTTGCATCCGTCATCGTGTCCCTGACAGAGCTGTCCCCGAAGCCCGTGCTCCAGCCGCTCATCCCCTTCTCCGGGCCCCTGGCGACCCCTGGTCTTCCTCGTGTCTCCGAAGCTTTGCCTGAATTCGGCTGTTTGGGGGGAATGCGGCACCAGGGCCCGCAGCACTGGGAACTTTGAACCCATGGCCTCCAGACACTTGGGGCCACTGGGGACCAGGCCCAGTCCTGACCCCAGTCAGGGGAGTGGGGCTGAGAGGAATGATCCCAGCCCCACCAGGGCCACAGAGCACCCCCTTCCGTGCTGCTGCGTGTAGCTCCCCAGACCTCTGGGGGCCTGAGCAGGCAGGCGTGTCCTCCCACCTTGACCCCACCAGTCAACCCCGGGGTTCATGGTGGGTCTCCTGGTGTGGTCTTCTGAGAAGACACGCTGATCTGGGTGCCTTGGAGCAGCGAGAGAAGGCCTGCCCTGCCCTGCACAACCACTGAGAAAGGAAAACAGCCAGATCCAGATTTTGAAAGAAACATCTAATCTGAGGGGGGAAGAGTTTCAACGATGCTCAGTGCAAACCACTTGCTGGGCTCCTGGCCTCCAGCCCAAGGGGCTCTGGCTAGGCGGCCACACTCCTGGGGAGGGTAGGAAGGGGACCCTCGTACAGGCTGTGCCCACTGGCTCGGGGCTGGCCCTAGCTGGCTGGTCCTCCACAGAGACAGGTAAGGAGGGACAGACAGAAGGACGGGCATTTGGCCTGGCTGATGGATGGAGACTTTCCTTCTCTCAGTCCACACAGGGCTCTAGGCTCCCGGGGGCGAGAACCTGTGCTGAGCCAAGAGGCCCGAGTGTGGGTGTGTACCCCTTCTCCAGGGTCCCACACCCTGAGTCCCCGTGGCTGAGGGTTTTGGCTGATGTGCTGTATGTGCCTGGCATCTTAGGAAGCTCCTCGTTGGGTCCCCACCCACTATATCGGGGGGCCGTGCTGCCGCCGCCTTTGCAAAGTCTGCCTGCGTTTCTGGGGTAGAGCGTCTCCTCCGTACAGGGCTGTAGGACTCGTGTTTTAGAGAAACAAAGTGCCACCCGCAAGACAAACGTGCTCCTGCTCCAACATTTCTCCCTGGACTGTTCCTGGAGCAACAAGACTCTACATGTTTACGTCGTCCGTGTTTTCTTTGAAAGTCACGGTTTTGTTAAGTGAAGTGTTACTTGTTTGCTGTTTTCAGGTGTCCTTTTCCAGAGACCTCCCAGACCGTGGGGGATCCACAGGCACCGAACTGGACCTCCACGTGCGAATCATGAAGCCCCTCAAGGCCATTGTGCAAGCGTCGCGTGACAGGGTCCACGCTTTCTTCCAAGAAAGTGGGCTGTGCCCAAGACATCCCACACGTGGCACCCCCGTCCCGTCCATCCCGCCTCTAACCGTGGGCGACTCGCCCGGGACACTGCTGCTCCCAACGTAGCCTCGTCAGCTGTGTTCATCCGGGGAAGGCAGGCTCTCCCCTCTGCTCTATCTTTCCCTGCAGGTTTGTTTCCCCACGAGAATATTATTAGCGTAACCAAAATCAATTTTCTTCTTCAAACCAGAACTTGCTGATGAGTGGGGAGGGGCGTCAGCCCGGGTCCCACTGGAATGAATCCGCTCTGAATAACCCAGAAGACGCGGATGTTTCACAGCTGGAGGCGATCCCGCAGCAGCCTTGCTGGTTTCGATGCCTATCAGCCATCGCCAAGATCAGGCACGCACAGCTCATCCCCATTAAATGCTGCTTATGTGGATGGAGGGTTCTAGGAAGAGGAACCGAAACTTTCTGTGGGTCTTTTCCTGGCACCTCAGATAGGATCTGCTCTGCTGTTCCCAAACATTATTACAAAATAACTTTGCTTAAATTAGAAGACACACATTTTTTTTCTTTCTTTCACCCCCGACAAAAATCTTCTGAAATGGGAAAACACACAATCGTGCCCCTT